AAGATCCATTCAGCACAACAAGACAGTCCAGTTTCCGAAACAGTTTTCACACTCTTCTCTTTGTTTTTTGGTGGACCAAGACTTAGCATCCTAGATCAAGCCTGAGGAAGACTTTATGGGTGACGCCAACTTCACTGCGGGTCAGCTATCAGTCACCTATCTCTTGTGCACAGTTCAAGATCTGTTCAGAACAGTAAGAAAGTCCAGTTTCCAAAACAGCCATCACACTTTTCTCTTTTTTAGTGGACCAAGTCTTGGCATCCCAGATCAAGATTGAGGAAGAGAACTTACAGGTGAAGCTAATGAAATCATCCATCTCTCGTCAAAAGTTCAAGTACTGTCAAACTCATGCAGAACTCAATTGTGTTCTCCTAATTTGTGTTTAACTTAAAGGTCTGTTTAGCAAAATACAAATTACAGATATAAACAACATATGAGGTCCATAGTATGCCTAGCTATTTATCTAAAATATGTGTTGCGGTGGTTAGCTTGACATGGCTCCCAGGGGTGTGTGAGAAAATATGTTCCAGTAGAATTTGGCACAGCAAGAAGATCTTAAATGAGAGGAGCTGTAGAGGACGATGGCAAAAAGGAATCTCTTTTGAGAAAAGGAACAGCATCTTAGGATGGGTTAGTCATGCCATGTAAAAGATACAACTGAAGTAAGACTTCAAATTGCTCTAAGTTGCAACTACAAGCTCAAACAGTCAACCCAAAGACAAGCTGTAGGGCACCTCATTCACCTAGGAATAAAACAATGAGTAAGGGTTAATTACCATGAAAAATGCATGAATCTCGGTTCAAGTTGATAATTCATCAATACAAATCTGCTTTCAAAATACATTTAGAGAGCATGATGAAGGTGGAAAAATTAAAAATTCCTTAATTACCAAGATACAATAATTGCAGAATGGTGTTTTAATTAGAAAAATTTTGGAAAATTGTGGCCTTGCTCTAGAGAACCACTTTTGGCCAATACGACAATAGGCCTTAGTACAGCAGGAACAACAGCAAAATTATGGCTAGCTCTTGTAGGAGAGTAATTTTCTTTGGAGGAAGAGGAATATATTTTGAATGTTACTAATAATGGCCATTATTAAAAACTGGATCATTGAATAATGCAATTCAAGACTCTTTATTGGCTTAGCCATTATGGTATATGAGCCACTTCACCATAATCTAATATCTGTACATTGTAACATCCGGTTTCTTATTACAAAATAAAGTTGAGAAGATTTGTCTAATATCTTGGGGGCGTTTTTTTTWAATAAAACAATTATTCCACTCGGGCTTGTTGGATATGAGATGATTCTAGCCAACTTGGCTCTACGCGCCTCGTTGGCTATCTATCATCTCATATCCAACGCGCGCTTGTGGAATAATTGTTAAATAGACAATAGGGAAAGGGCAATGGGCAATAAGCAATGGGCACCAGGTAATGTGCACTGGGCAATAGCTAATGAGAATGTGAAAGTGAAAAAGGGAAATTTACTTCTTTCCTTTTTTTCAGATTTACTATTCATAATGCAGAACAGATATTTTTCAGCAGTGATTATTGATATAACTTGTTTCATTGTGTCACTATCTGAAGCTAAGTGAATAATGAAAAGAATTGCTTTGCCATTGTCAATCAAGTTTTCAGTGGAGGGAATAATTTTAGTTATAATCCATCAAATATTTTTGCTCCCCTGCAATTGGTTCAAATGCATCACATAACCAAATACACCCTAACTGAAGTGGGGCATATTTAAACAATAGCCTCCATTTGGAGTCAAAACGTGCAATGATATTTTTGTGAGCTTTGTGGAACAGATAGTGTCTATGGACTACATGAGCTTATTTTTGCATGAAATGGACATAACCCTGGATAATAGTTGCAGTTTTTTGTACCAAAATACTGTATGCTAAAAAATAGCCCTTAACAAAGTGTCAGGAAATAGTGTTCTAGATAAGTTGCGCAAGCGGGAGTCATGTAGCCCAGTCTTTAAAATTTATATCAAAAAAAGTTTGTCTAGGAATTGAAATTAACTTTATCTAGTAGGTGCCATTTAGTGTCCACTAAAAAATGTCAGTTACCAGATGGCAAAATATGGTCAGGAAAAAGTTGGACTATCAGCATCTAAGTTTTGCATCAGTGTGACCCTCCCTCCCCCCTTTGAAAAATCCTGGTTACTTCCCCATCTCGAATGTTAAAAAAAGCGCTACATTCTAAGGTTGAAAATCTTGTGCTGCAAACTCAGCTCCTTCAGCTGTGCGTATAGAAAATCAGAATAATTCGACAACATTATAGGCTTGCTTTGCAACTAAAAATAACAAGAAGTAGAGATAAATGATTTAATATGCCCTTCCAGTAGTGTTAAAAGTTTATTCCTTACCTCTAATGGTTGACATCAAATATGTCATGGAACGTCTTACATGCACCATTTATAAGTTTACCAGCCGCTTTTGCGTCGCTTTTTCCATATAGGCACAGTCAAACAGCAGACAACATAAATTTTACGGTATGTGATCTCCAGAGTGTCATGTTTGCTCCAGCTTTGATATTAGAAGAGGCAGTTCCTTCCATCTTCCACTCGCAAACAGGCCGCCATATTGTGCAGTCTCCTTCGCAGCCGCTCGGGCCGGAGTCACGCAACGCTCCCCGTCCCCACGCATAAATTATTATTTTAGCGCTCACTACTGCGAGGATCGTGCATCATACTATCTAATACCGCAGTTCAAAATATATGAACTTCATATATACATTGTATCTGATTTATCATCACGGGTTTATTACGAATCAACTTAACGGCCTGCTCCCAGTTGGCTTGTTAGCTCAATTGGTAGAGCGCTGCATCGCAGAGGTCAGTGGTTCGAATCCCGTACAGGCCTGATTTTTTTCAGGTCTGATTTTCGCTATTGCATAAATAGCGCTATCTACTGCGACGATCGTGCATCATACGTATCTAATACCGCAGTTCAAAATATATGAACTTCATATATWCATTGTATCTGATTTATCATCACGGGTTTATTACGAATCAACTTAACGGCCTGCTCCCAGTTGGCTTGTTAGCTCAATTGGTAGAGCGCTGCATCGCAGAGGTCAGTGGTTCGAATCCCGTACAGGCCTGATTTTTTTCAGGTCTGATTTTCGCTATTGCTTAAATAGCGCTATCTACTGCGAAGATCGTGCATCATACGTATCTAATACCGCAGTTCAAAATATATGAACTTCATATATTCAATATATCAGACCTAAGAGGTCTTACATCTTTTCAAAGGATGACGCAAATGGGAGTAAAAATAACAGAAACAGGGCTTGGAGTGGACGGAATTTTATAGTTAGCTTGATATCAAGAAAAGTGATGAAAAGAACTTCCTAACAACTAATTGAAACAACAAGGGCTCCCTACATCAACAATATTTGACTATACCTCCTACGTATCACTGACGCTGACAGCCAATCGTCCAGCCTAATGTTTCCATACTGCTGAGTTCCCATCTCTCTTTATTTCTTTTCGCGCAAAAATGTTCGAAAAACCGCTCAATACGTCACTACGGACCGTTTTTACCCTCAAAATGCACCCCTATTCTTACACCTAAAAAATACGTGCTTTATAGATCTTTTTATGTCACAAGATTTGACCATCATTGACGTTTCCGCGGTAGTTTGGGATGTTTAAAATCCTTAATTCTATACTTGTGAACCCTAGCGTGGTATTATCAGAATGTTCTTGGCCTGTTCTCTGAAACGCCGCCTTCAATTCAATTCTTTGGTGAAATTGCAACCACTTATAGAAAATAATTATTTCCCGCTATAAATTAATTATTTACCTTACACGAATTCGATAGTTAACCATACAAGAGACGATAACATCTTGTAACTTGACCCAGTCCAAAAAAAACCAGGTGATACTGATAAATGCCTTATTGCGGAGAACTTCCTTTAAAATCAGGGTAAATGTTTTCATTTAATGTTTGTTATATCTTATTTTATTTCTTACGTTCTCGCTTTACCGCAGACGTGCACGAAAAAAGTCATACTCAAAATGTTTTTTTTGAGGATTTCACGTTATTTTGATTAGGCATTTCTCCTGTATTTCCGCTGTTTTATTTTATTGTATAGATAAAATAAAAGAGTAGATTCAGAACATTGAATAAACAAAGTTAGCTTTTCACCAACAGTTTAGCGTCAGATAGATAATGTATCTTTACCCTTTTTATTATTTTCTCAAAGCAACGAATAGCTGCCGCATTATTAATAAAATAAATGTATTTGTTTCTACAAATTATGCATACAGGCCCTGTTTTCAGACGATTTTCTTTATGCCTAATTTTGTTTTCTCTTTCGAATTTATGCGAAATCAAATCCAGAAGAGACCATAAGGAAAATGACACATGCCAAACTGCCAATCGAAAAGTCTTATTTTGCTAGAGCTTCATATATGCCCGTTGTGAAGAAAGAAAGTGTTTTTTTATCTCAAATATTACCTAGCCATACAAGGATCTTAACTTACTCGTTAAATTGCGTAACTGAGAATGGTCAGTAAAAAATACCGACATTTTAAGTAGTCACAAATATTTTTCTCTAATGGAGACCATTTCTTAGTTGAGAAATCATTCACTTAAGATGTTTTAAAACTTACTGTGATGCGTTTTAAGATTATGTTCATTATAGACGCAATGAAAAAAAACGGATGAACTTGTTTTGGTAACTCGTTTTTGCTCATTTATTTCACTATATAAATGAGAGACCTATGTCTTCATAATAATAATAATTTATCTCTCACTGCTCTTGCCATTCCATTATTTAATTCATAAGTTTCAGAAAAAAAATTCTTTCAATAACTTCGACAACGAGAAAATGAAGAAATGTTCACGCATTCGTTTTTTCTATTGTATTTTCAAGAAAAGTCCCGAATGCTTTGTTCCATCATGCGGCTTCGCTGCTCCATTAGGAAGTGGCATTTCCTTAACCATTATCCAAATATTATGCTTTAGAGCTTGAGATTTCTGCAAGCAAAGAGTAAAGTGATGAAACTGAAAATCTGACCATAGATTCAGTGTCTTTTTCATGCTCGAAATCTATTTTATCGCTCTATTCAGGTGGACGGCATTTACGCCGTGACGGGAGACGGAGAGTGTGTTATTGTATTTGAGCAGTATGATTTACAAGTGGCATAACTCCCAAACCCGTATGGCTATGCCTGTGATCTCTTCAATGACCTGAGCACCCGATAAGAGTAATGATGTCAACTTCGTTTCCAGATCATCTTTTTGTTGTCTTGAGAACCCTTTGGATTAGGAGAGGGGGGACGTACGAAGCGATTTTGTTTGTAATGTCATGATACCTAGACCATCGTTATGTTTACGGGATGCGAATCTCTCGCGAGAATTTATTTTCTGGTGTATCGATGGATTAAACTTCTGTCATCAACAATAGCATCGACTTCCTAAAAACCTATTCGGCAAAGTTTGCTTTAAGCCACTGCCTCTAAGTAAAGGCACACGACAATATAAAGTCAACTCATTTTTAGACGCAATTGCATGCTCTTTATCAGTATCGGTAGCGAAAACAAATTTTCAGATGCTCTTATGAAAAACAAGTTGTTCAGTTACGTTCGACGTAAGGTCATACTGCTTCATATTTTTGGGAATTCAAATTGTTGCAGTAAAACACGATGGCAGCCATGTTGGCCACTTTCTTGACATTAGTATAAATTCCCCAAATGTGTCATAGCCAAAATACTATTGCACTTTTTACTTCCCAACTTAACAATAATTCCTTTCGTTATAATTTATTTCACATGGACTTCGCGACAGACTCCGAAGACTTGTCTTCTATCAACCCCCTATATCAACTCACCTGGACTTACAAGAAAGGACAGGCCGCCATTTTTTTAGGTGAGGTGACGTAGACGTTTAAAGTAATTATAAACAATAGCCCCCTTTTGGCGCCAAAATATGCACTAATATATGTCCTCGCAATTTTAGGCATTATCTGTTCCTCGAAGCTCACGGTTTTTCTCAAGCATTGCTCTCGGAAAACTGTTCGCATCTGAGAGGATTTGTGGGTGCTCGGAAAAGTTGTAGTTATGTACACTCTCTGAAAGGTGTTGACTTTTTATTTGCTCTTTTATTTTACTACCTTTTAGTGAGACGGCCATGTCTAAGTTGAAATTTGTGAAAGACCAAGATAAACTCGCAAAGATGCCAGGTGTAGTAATCTTTAACAATTGAAAGTCTTGTGACCTTTTTACTTCAACTAGCAGTCACTTGACTTCCTAGTGATAGGAATAGATTATGAGAAACTATCAGCTGAAGGGTGTTATCTCGATATCACATTAAAACATAAATGTACTTAGTACACATCGTTTGATTGGTCAAATCTGTTTACAAGCGGATGCTTTCTCAGGTTATAGAGCTTGCATTTGATCGGTGACAACTAGTTATGTCATAAAAGCAATAGAACACATTTTTCCAGGCTCTATAACATGATGAGCGTGGATTTATCATGTTATAGAGCCCGGAAAAATGTGTTCTATTTCATAATTAAACTCCCTGATCTAATTAACAAGGAAATCTATAGCACCTGAAAGGGAGAATTGCTGTAAGGAGTTTTGGCGTTCAACCTCTTGTAATCTAGCACAACTTGTTAAATAACCTCACCGTATCCTTCTCTTTCAGGTTTTCCTGGTGAGACTAAACAAAGACCACAAATGTGATCGTAGTAGTCTAATTCCACAAAGTTAAAATGAAAATTCGTAAAAGAGGCCCAGGGCCCTCTAAAGAGCCAATGAGCTGCAATTATTATAAACCACCCTAAGTATACTTTTTTACGTACTTATCTAATCATCAGCCTGTTTACATCAATATCGCTTTTTCACTCGAGCCATAAATGAAAACTGAAACTCTTTGGAATCGTCATAAGTCTAGTAGGAAGCAGATTTCTAGTCATCAATAAAAAAATAACAAAAGCTGAAAGATACTTATCAACGTACCCACACGGTACCTATATAATAGCAAAAAGTTATGTGTACATGGCCTAATATGTTCCTTGAAAATCTCTTCCTAAGAAACGCACCAGTTTCATATGGCCTCACTACACCTTGTAAGGGTAAACAGGTAACAGCTCAGTTTAGAAACGCTCGTGTTCATGTTTCTCGTCTTGTGTGGTCACCTAAGTGCAAAAGCAGAAAAAAATCTTAAAGAAAAACTGAATTTTATCGTGAACAAGAAATTTACTCTGATTCAGAAGAAATGAGAACTATTTTCAGAAAAAGATGAAACAAACTATGATAAACACGTTACAACACGAGACTGAGAATAAAACAATTCATAGCTCAGCAACGAAGAGAAAAATCAAACTCTGGACGTACTGAGTGATGCATGACGTTACAATTTAGACGGCCTGGATCTCAATACAGGCTGAGTGACTCAGGGGTTGGAGCTTCAGGGCCTGAAGCGTCGAAGTCTGAGGGCCAGGTTACACTTACACAAAGCCAACGTTGTCATGCTTCGGTTCATTAGCTGTGAAACCTACCGAAGGAAATCAGCTTTGATAGTCCTCGTAGTAGGTAATTAAACTTAATTCGAAATTACTTACTCCTTAAAAGGTGACAGTTACATCGTCTCCAAGTAACACAAATGGAGCCCAGTGCTCCCTATCACCGTACAACTCTGACTCTCTCATCTTTTGCATGGTCTGGTGAAGAGATTCACTTGCACTGAGTTTCTCACGGATCAAGAATTTGTAGAATATGTTCATAAACGTCTTAGTAGCTCCATCATCGACAGCCCACAGTGACACCAGAACTGAACGGGCACCAGATCCAAGAAAAGCGCGAGCAATCCCAACAACTCCTTCGGCCTTAGAAATCTTCCCGGGAGCACTATGACAACAGCTGAGTACCACCAGCTTGGCTCTGATACCAACTTGAGCTATTTCGTTCATTGTCAATATGACGTCTTCTTTTTTGGGAACTCCAACGACAGACCTGTTGGGAGAAAGAGCTATTTCCCCGGTGTCTTCATCACCATGGGCAGCAATATGCACTAAGCTGACTTCTTGGATTCTTCTCAAGACATCCTCCTTTGTTGCCTCCTCTCCTATCAAACAAGGCACTCCCACCAACCTTGACACCATCTGAGCTTCCTCTCTGGCTTTACGCAATGGATCCAGAGTCTTAACACATCCATTGATCTCTATTGGGCCAACAGCTGGATCTCCGACGATCAAAGCTCCACTTTGAGAGTGATAGCTGGCTGGCGAGTCATGAATGAGCTTCAGTGTCGTTAGTGATGGGATGAGGCGGACCCTCAAAGTTTCAGAAAGGTACTTTCCATTGTCATCCTTTAATGATGCAAAAGGTGTCAAGAAAAGATCCGGTTCTGGGGATATGATGATCTCCGGGCTGTCTATGAGGTCAAAAATAGGAGCAATTAAGGCAGCGTACGACTTGACCATACAAGAAAGGGTAAGATATGGCTTTCCTCCAATTTGTTTTATTCCAAGCATTTTCACGGAACCTTTGTTTGGTTTTAACGTCTGCTACAGTGAAGCAAATGGATCATATCCATACAGCGAGGCCAATGAACGGTCTTCACATTGTAGGTCATCCAAAGTCAACGAAGAAGTATCCATTCCAGGTTCTTCAGAGGCATTTACACAAACCCGTTTGAATTTCACACTTCCTCCTGTGTCGACAAACCACAAGGCGAAACATCCCGTTTGAAACGTTTCAATGAAGAGAAAGTTCTTTTTCTGCTCTTTAAGGAAGCTCTGAAGTGTATTTAGAGTTAACTCATTTTGAGCAGGATTCCTGTTGATTCCGTAATTCTTCGACATAAGATCAACCAGGGCACGACTTCGTCCGAGCTCTAAAGTGAGAAGGGCTTGGTTGAAATTCCTCTCGCAAAGAAGAAGCAAGGAAAGAGATTTGTAGCAAGGAAAGTTCTTGTCATTCAATAAAATCTTGTTAGTTTCATCTTTAAGGGAAGAACGAATACTTTTGTGGATTTCTATGCCTTCAAGCAAGGTTTTGCAGGCCTTCGAGAGGTTTCCCTGAGAGGAATATGTTTGGCCTAAGTTATGAAGAACATTGATGTGCGACTGATCTTTCTTTCCAATTTCCTTCATCATCTCAAGCGCTTTGTTTTGATACCAGATTGCCCTCTCATTTTGACCTCGAACAAAATATACACTACCAAGGAGAGCATAACACGACTCTTCTCTTTGTTTTTCACTGATTTCCTTTGCAATTTTCAGTGCCTTTTCGGTATACTCAATGGCTTGTTCATATTTTCCAAGTGAAAAATTCAAACTACCCATGAAGTATAATGCTGCTGTCTTTCCTTGTATGTGTTCAGTTTCTCTACTGATTTTTAGAGCTTTCTCCAGGTATTCACGTGCTTCTTGGTATTGGCCAGCAGACCTACATACGCCACTGATGTTACAAAATGTCGTAACTATGTTTACTTTGTTCCCAGTGCTTTCGTGAACACCTATCGCCTTTTCTAAATAGCTCTTGGCTTTCTCATGTTCACCAAGAGAAAAAGGCACCTGACAGGCATTGTTTAAGCAAATTTCCAAGTGTTCGAGATCCCCGATTTCTTCGCACGCTTTAATGGCTTTTTTGTGATATTGGCTTGCCTTCTCGTAATCACCAAGGGACAAATAATGATTTCCAAGGTCGGTGAGAACTCCAGATGTTCTGACGCCAGTCTGTAATTTGATTTTAAGGGCTCTTTCGTGGTATTCGATGGCTTTTTGAAGCTGACCAAGGATATTATGAACCTTTCCAATGAAGTAGAGATTCTTTCCTTCTAGCACCTTGTCTTTGATTTCTAAACTAAGTTTATAGCTCTTTCTATAATATTCCAGGGCCTTTTCGTAGTCGCCAAGCGCCTCATAGACTCCACCGATGTTGTTACAGGAGAATCCTTCTTCTCTTCCACATCCAAGTCTTCTACGAATCTCGAGTGCTTTTTCCTGGAAACTTAGTGCTTCATGAAGTTTACCTAGACAATTATGATTCAAGACTCCCAGGTTGTTGAGGCTTGTTGCTTGGTATTCCTCTTTCCCGAGTCGAATACTTATCTTTAGCGCTTTTTCATAACACATTTGAGCTTCCTCGTATCTTCCACGAATATGATTGATCTCACCGATGTCGTTGTACACTCTTGCTTGAAGCTCTTGTCTCATGGCATGCAAGGATATTTCGCGAATACTACTGAGAACTTTCTTATAATGTTCCATGGCTGTTTCATACTGACCAGCAAGGTGGAACGATCTACCCAAGCGGCAGCGACACCATGCCTCTCTTTCTTTGGAACCAATTTGTCTGTAAAGGGGCAGTGCTTTCTTAAAGCAGTTTATCGATTCTTTAATTTCACCGAGGTCATAGCATTTCATTCCTCTTTCGAAGAGGAAGAGTTCTCCCAGTGCAACTTTTTCTCCTATCACTCGTTCAATTAGATTCATCACTGGGGATGGTTTTCTCTTCGACATCTTATTCCAAAGTGCAAGGCACTCTGAATAAAAACCAATGGATTCAGTCCAGCGATTCGTTTTGGTTAGAAATGTCGCCACAGCATACCCAAGAAAGAAAGTTAATTCTTGCGTTAATTTATCCATCTTTTTGCGTTCCCTAGCAAATAACTAAACAGAAAAACAAAAGCAACAAATCATATGAGAGAGGTAAGAATATGACATAACTGGTTTACATCAAATATAAATCCCGCTTAATTGTTACAAGGAAGAGCGGGGTGAAAAACGCAACAGGAATGTTGGATTCCCCTCGTTATAAAACAAATGGTAGAGTCGCTCTCGGCTATCACCTCGCGCGACTCTTACGCTTCTTTCGTACTTAGCAACCTCCCGCGTGCATCCATAACTCAATGGCGTCGCTGTAGTGTTCATCATTTGTTAAACTGATCGAGTTTTTATCTTCAACTGGGCAAACTAAAGGCAGATCTTTTCCGTAAAGTAATCAGCGAAAACGTGGTAATCAGCGACGTTCGCCATATATATGAATCCGGCAATGACCCACGGTTGCAACGAATTTTCGGTAACTCAGTGATCGCCCTCAATCATCTGGGGCCAAATATTCTCGCGGAAAGCTCTGATTTTTCCTTTTCCTCACGCTCTAGACCAAGTGAATAGTTTCTCGTTTTCTTTGGACAGTTTCTTTTACTTCACTTTTTGATCAAAAGACCTCATCTTCTATTTCTATGTTACGTTTAAAATATGACTACGAAGGATTTTATTTGGAGAGCGCTTAACAATGAGGATTTCAAAACTGAGTTTTACTTCTATGTTGGAAAGCAGGGCCAACTCCCTTTCAAACAACCTTCCTCAGGCGGTTGCCCTAGTTTTCGGTCACCACATATTGGGATCCTAATAAAGAGTCTCTTTTGCCAAAACGGCGCTGGTAATTAACATGTTTTCAAAGCGAAGCGATTTGGTTGAACTCACTCTCCGGCATTACTTCATGCCTTCAAACGGATGTTACAATGTTTTCACTTCGATCGCAAGAAATAACAGCCCGCTGGTAATGATATCGAGACAAATTTACGATTCTGGACCAAAAGCAAACACAAATCATCGACAAATCAGCTTCGTAATTCAGTTCTTATCTTTGTATTTCCGAAATAAACCCGTAACAAAGTTAACTTTTAAAGCCATTTTTCAACTCTTTGTCTCGTTCAAACGTATTTAATAACAATCTCCATGGTTTATTCGCATATGAAAGTGATCTCACCTGATCAACAATTCGATGTCACCGTCTCGCCAATAAACCTCTCAGACCATACGAGCCATGATCAGGAAGGCAGCTCTACCGAAATTAAAGATGTATTCAGCCATTTAGGTGCTTTTAGCCTTTGTTTATCGGTGATGCAGGAATTTGTAGTGTTGCTAAGTAAACACTACGTAATTGAAACATTACGTAATTGAACCAAGTCATGTGACCGAAAACTATCTGACGACATCATTTCGTCTGTGATTGGCGCCACCTCTAGAAATCAATACGATGCAATGTTCTTTATTTCAAGAGGGTTAATACATTATTAACCCAGTAAAGAGTTTTCTAACACATGGCCCTCACCCACCCAACCCACACCACTATTTTTGTGGTATGGGTTGGGTGGGTTGGGTGGGTCATGCCCGAGCCAGGACTTGAACCCGGGCCATCAGACCCAGAGTCCAGCGCACTGACCACTGGACTAGTCACGCCTCACAAATCATGACTATGGTAATCAGCAGAGAATTTGTATGGTTTGTAAAGATTATGCCAACTTGGGATCACTCCGATATAATGTAAAAAAAAGGTAGAGAGGGGATATCTTTCTGCAGCACGATGGTGGAATTTGTAGTGTTGCGAAGTAAACACTACGTAATTGAAACACTACGTAATTGAACCAAGTCGTGTGACCGAAAACTATCTGACGACATCATATCGTCTGTGATTGGCGTGACTTTTAGAAATCATGATTATGGCAATGAACAGAGACTTTGCATGGTTTGTAAAGGTTATGCGAACTTCGTATGGCTCCGATATAATGTTAAAAAAACAATAGAGAGAAGGGCTGCATGAAAAATAGCATCTAAAACAGAATTCTGGAGAATGCTAAGCTTTTCGTTGCAGAAGTCACCTTAATCCACGATCATGTTTTCGTTGTGTGACTAAAAGGTGACTAAACTGTTGTTTACGAACGTTTTGAATAACATGAAATGTAAATTCTCTTTCCGAAGTGGCTAAAATTCATGAAGGAAAAGACGAAGAACGAGAACATCTAAGTGGCATGTATCCTTTAACCATTTGCTCAGTGTTTTTGGTGAAAGAAATACGTGAAAAGAGAGTTTATCCGTAGTGAGTAGGATCAATTCAAGATCAAACTCTGGTGTAATAGATGTAAGAGAGGAACCTGGGACTCTAGCTGGACTTGGACCAGATACAAGCACGACATGATGTTGACGTTGGCATACTTTCCATAGCCTCCTTAAGAAAGATTAATGCAGTCCAAGTTACTCCTACGTTTTCTGCGGTAAAGAGCTCACATTCAGAGACAACAGACCTGAGAGATCATTCTTACATATTTTCAAAATACGACGCAAACGAGAGTAAAAATAACAGGAACAGACTTGGCTTGGAGTGGGCGGAATATAATAGTTAGCTTTACATCAAGAAAAGTGACGAAAAGAACTTCCGAACAACTAATTGAAACAACAAGGGCTCCCTACATCAACAATATCTGGCTATACCTCCTACGTATCATTGACGCTGACAGCCAATAGTTAAGCCTAATGTTTTCATACTGTTGAGTTTCCATCTCTCTTTATTTCTTTTCGCGCATGTCACTACGGACCTTTTTTTTTACCCTAAAATGCACCCCTATTTCTAAATCTAAAACAAAAGTGCTTTTTAGATCTTCTTATGTCACAAGATGTGACCATCATTGACGTTTCCGCGGTATTTTGGGATGTTTAAAATCCTTAATTCCACACTTGTGAACCCCAGCGTGGTATTACCAGAATGCTCTTGGACTGTTCTCTGAAACGCCTCCTCCAATTCAATTCTTTGGTGAAATTGCAACCACTTATAGACAGTAATTATTTCCCGCTATAAATCAACTATTTACCTCACATGAATTCGACAGTTTACCATATAAGCGACAATAACATCTTGTAACTTGACCCAGTTCAAACAAAACCAGGTGATACTGATAAACGCCTTATTGCGGAGAACTGCCTTTAAAATCAAGGTAAATGTTTTTATTTAATATTTGTCATATCATATTTTATATCTTACGTTCTCGCTTTACCACAGACGTGAACGAAAAAAAAAATCATGCTCAAAATGCTTTTTCGAGGATCTTATTTTGATTAGGTATTTCTCCTATGTTTCCGCTATGTTTTATTTTATTGTATAAAAAAAGGAGTAGATTCAGAACGTTGAAAAAAAAGGTAAAGTTAGCTTTTCACCAACAGATTTCGCGTCAGATAGATAACGTATCTTTACCCTTCTTATTATTTCCTCAAAGCAACGAATAGCTGCCGCATTGTTAGTAAGATAAATATATTTTGTTATACGAATTATGCAATATTATGTATACAGGCCTTGTTTTTCCTATATGTCTAGTTTTGTTTTCTCTTTCGAGTTTATATGGAATCAAATCCAGAAGAGACCATAAGGAAAATGACACATGCCAAACGGCCAATCGAAAAGTTTTATTAAAAAGGGAAATTTTTTAAACTTATTTTGCTAGAGCTTCATTTATGCCCATTATGAAGAAAAAAAATGTTCTTTTTTCGTCAAATATTATTTAGCCATGCGACGATCTTAATTGGACTTTCTCGTTAAATTGCGTTATTGAGAATGGTCAGAATGGTACCGACATTTTAAGTAGTCACAAATATTTTTCTCTAATGGAGACCATTTCTTAGTTGACAAATCATGCACTTTAGATGTTTTAAAACTTACCGTAATGGGTTTTTGGAGTCTGTTTCATTATAAATGCAATAAAAAAACGGATGAACTTGTTTTGGTAACATCCGTCAACATTGCCTTCGTTTTTGCTCATTTATTTCGCTATGTCTTCATAATAATAGTAATTTATCTATCACTGCTCGTGCCATTCCATTATTTGATTCATAAGTTTTAGAAAAAATGTCGATCAGTAAAAAGAAAATAGAAATAGCGAGGCTATCATTTAGTAACGATCTGGAAGGTAACAGGATACTTGGATCGGATATCAATGTACAACAGAAAATAGGATTTTGTCATTGAATTTACATCAGTCGCTGATGACGCATTGCACGAAGAACTTAGTCTAGCTGAGAAAAGAATATCTCAAAAGTTTGTTTTTTATTTCTATTATTGTTTCCTTTATCTTTTATCTTAAGTCTGATTGCTTAAAAATTTAACTGCATAATTTCCAGTGCTCAAACTTTCATTTCTATCCCTTTTCTTCTTTAAACGAAACGTAAGTGACATCCATAAAAAGAATCGCACTTTTGTAACTTACGTAACATGGTTCACCAAATTGCGCGTGGAAATCTTAATATCCTGTCATAAACAAGATAAAATATGCCGGCCCGCAATACAGCTGCTAATACTATTTAAACTGAAATGAATTTTGCTCAATTTGAATTCCAAATGACCTTTTTTCGCTGCTAGAGTAATCTGCAAATTTGAATGCCTGATACAAGGTCCTCAGTAATGCTCCAAAGAAACAAACAGGTTCTCCTGTAAAAATATATCTCAAGGAAGTGTTCATATGGATATGTAAATTAAAAATATCTTTCACCATTCCCAGTTAGAAACCCAATAAAAATACGCAATGAGGATAACCTCAATAGCTTAGATGGAATATAAAATATGTATGTGTTGTCATCATAAGGTTTAATTTTTGTTTATCTTTTTACATTTTTAGCGCGAGTGAGAATCGAATAAAAATTTTGAGTGGTTGGCGGAAACGAATGGTTGATGAATCGTAACCAAAGACCTGCATATATGAGGTAGGATATTAGTTTCTTATTTAATTTCTGTAGGTTTTTTCCCTTTTTTTTAACACTAGCCACGAGAAAATGAAAAAATGTTCACAAATTATTTTTCCATTTCCAAGTAAGTGAAAAGAAGCTAAGCTTAAAAAGTTAATAATTTTCATTTTGACTGCACATGGGAATGTTACATTGTATTACAGTGTGCAATTAAATAAAAAGTATCTTTCCAGGCTTCTTTCCTAAGATTTCTTTACGCAGATATTTTGAAAGAGTTACAGAAAAGGCCCTTTTCACATATTTCTTTCATGAATTTTGAAATTTTCGGATTCTAACCTCAAGTTTACATAACACTCTTTTCGAAAATCGTTTTATTTTTCCGCAATGAATGGGCAAAAGTATACAACACCCACGCTGATGCTAGTTTGCGACTCGTGGCGGAAAGCAATTTCGTTTAATATCTCCGCTGCGAATCAAGAACCTATCGCCTCGATTCTTGTTTACAAAGTTCGCCGAAGGATGTATCACTGGTAACAAAGAAGCTTTTTGACGGTTTAATAAGCCAGTTCTAAAGAGTGCTACTTTTTAATTATTCGTAGGCTTCAGCTAACTGCTCTGATTATTTTCAGACGAAATCTGGTGTCAAAACATTCCCATAGCGGTGTTACTTGCACGTAATAGGTTATGCGCAGTTTCTTGTCTGTATTTGATTAAAATGAAACTTGGAAACAGATTTCTAGTTTGCTTGCGTCCATCCTTGGTTCCAAAAAAGTTATTTAAAACTTTATAGCAAAACAGCTCATCTCAGCAACATCATCCTCACTGAAAAGGAATCGCCAGAGTACAAAATTTAAGTAGGAATACGTTGACATTTATCTTGTAGATGCGGCTTCAGTTAGCAGCCAACAATTTTCTGAAACATTACGTGCAATGTTCTTTTGTTCATGAGCATATCGTTTATATACGCTTAGGCACATCTCAGCTGTTGCAACAGAGCTCACCTCATACCTTTGGGGCGATTTAAGGCAATATGGGACACGGTCGGAATGAAAACTTTGCGCCTCGGTTTAATGTTGGAGTTCAGTAAAAAATGAAATATTGAAATGAAGTATTACGTATATATTTCATTTGTGGAAAGTTATTAGAAACACAGAGCACAAGGGTGAGTCAAATATTAGCCGTGTCCGCCTAAAAGATAGTCACCTATGACATTTTGAATAGTATTTGACTGAGAAGCAAAATTGATATTCATGAAATGGTCTCATGCGGAAATTGGTCGTTAAAAAATGTTTCTAAGCAAAGTGCGACACCTCTTCTCCTGGGACGGGAAATTCTGACATCAGATTTTCATTATGTTGATATCCAAGGTCTTTCATCCTCCCACCCCCTGAAACGCAAAGATGAGAGACCCTGGGAACGAGGTTGCTCCTTATGCATGGTGGGTGTAGCGAACATTTACGAGAGTGTGGACGAGCCTATCCGTCTATCTGTTTACGAAAAACAATAACAACAACAAAGCATCTTTTTTGACGAAAACGGCTCGTTTGAAAGAGTTCTGCTCTATACATTTTTACGATTTACACAACCTGAAATAAGAAGTGAAAAACTGCGAAAATAATAAAATGCTATTCAGATAAATTCCGACGTCCAAAATCTCTTTTACCGAATGCGTTTTACCATCAGCTATCAACATTCAACCCCAGTTCTTTTACTCATTTATTTTGACTCACGCGACGAACTCAGCCGTGCGAAGGCTCTGACAAAGGGCTAACGCTCGAAACGTCAGCTTTGAAACTCTTTACGGTGGCCAATTTATATTATTAATTTAGTTGATATATACTTCCCCACCAACGCAGCACCTCACTTTCTCTAGAAACTTACCCCCTTTATTCAACTGTGGGAGTTCTAGAGGAATATAGAGTGCTCGTACACTATCAAAGATATAGGGGTGTATATGTGTTTTTGACCTTCTATCATTGATCTTAATCATTCTCACATAAACAGCAGCGAGAGAAAAAGAGATCCTTTCTTAATTATTTTCGTTTAAAGTGGAAACTTATTTTTGTCTTGATCCATGACACTGCTTTCTGGCAAACATGGCTAATGACATTTCAGAACCTCTTGAGAATACGAATGTTCGCCAGACTTCCCTGGGTTGTTCTTCTGAGGCGGTGATCCATGACAATTGCACATTACACCTCTGCTATGAATATTCTTTTGAATAACTGCAAAGGAAAAGAAACCTCGCCTTAATTTTAGTACTGTGCGTACAGGAGTATTCATCTCTTGGTGGACTCTAAGAAAAGGAATATTTACAAAGGAAAAGAATTCAAAATTACAAGGAACGGTTCTTATGAAGTTTCAAAGCCCGTGCACTAACTGCGCGTCACACAAGTTCGGTTACGGCCTTCTCAACACGGACGATACTTATTTAAAATAACTTTTCTTAGTTTTAAAAAAATAAAAAATGAATGTTTATTCATCAGTTCGACAACTTTAAGGCCTTTAAAATTTTTCCTCAGATAAAAAAGATAGAGAAACCAAAGTAATTATGAGAGTAATAAATTCAAAACCACGAGCATTGAGAGCCATAAATGAGAAGACATACCAAAGTTTAAAAAAAGGAAAACAATAAGCTAAGTCATTATATTCACGATTTTTTGTGATATACTTCCTTAAGCCTGCGGGGTTTAGTAAGGACAACACTCACAAATGTTCGCATATCTGTCAAACCAAAGCTCAAAAGGATCCTTTAAGTAGCAGTAGACGCTGTACAACTCATGTTCAACACGTTTCAAGTTTTGTTACTCCTCTTCTTCTTTCCCAGTCGAATGATAAGTAGTCGAGCCCACAACAATTTTTGCGCCTTATTCCTTGGCCGGAAGTAAGCGATGCATACACGATCGCTTGTTCAGGCAAGGAGGCGGCGGAGGAGGAGGTGGCGTGGCCGAGTGGTTAGGGTACTGCCACTCACCGGATTTGTTCAACTCCTGGTCTGCGCTCTGTAAATAGCCCACTGGTCTTCCTCCTGCCGGTGGGGATTTTTAAGCACCTAGTTAGTCTACATTGTGGCTGAAAAGCCCCTAAGGGGGAGCTTCAATTAACGTATATTATTATATTATTATTATTAGTGGAGACATTTACATGTGCAATACCTACCCGTAATCCGTCATGGCTATACGTGTTAGGACCTCTTATGTCCAGCATTTCTCTAAGCCAATCAGAGTAGGAGGCGGCGTGGCCGAGTGGTTAGGGTGCTGGACTTGTAATCCGGTGTCCCGGGTTCAAGTCCTCCACCCTGCTACTCATTGGATTTGTTCTCGGTTACCCCTAGTTCAACTCCTTGGCTGTGTTCTGTGAATAGCCCACTGGTCTTCCTCCTGCCGGTGGGGATTTTTAAGCACGTAGTTAGTCTACATTGTGGCTGAAAAGCCGCTAAGGGGAAGCTTCAATTTACGTATCTAATTTAAGTTCAGCGTGAACACGTGATAAAGTAAGAGACAAATGAATAAAGGGGTTAGTCTCTAAAGAAACTGTAATGCTGCGTTGGTGGGAGTAACAAGATCATTTTGGTTTTATCAACTGAGTTGATAATGTAAATTAACCGTAAAGAGTTTGAAAGTTGACGTTTTGAGCGTTAGCCTTTCGTTAGGGGCTAACGCTCGAAACGTCAACTTTTAAACTCTTCAAGGTTAATTTAAATTATCAACTCAGCTGATAAAACCAAATTATATGGTAAGAGAAACAGTCTCAAAAATACACAATTTCAATAGGGGACATTTTTTTATCAGGTAAAGGTGATCAGTACAACTCCAGATTAAACCAGCTAGGCATTTCATGCTCTGTAATCAAATCAAATAGGATTTGAGGAAAATGGATTTCCTATCATTTTTTATCTTCACAACGGAATGAGAAACTGGCAGCAAAGTTTCTTACAGAAATAAATATTATTATTAACAATACCATTTAATGACTGAAAGAGGTTTGCCGGGACATGTCAGTTTTATTGAAAAACTAAAAGAAGATCCTACAAAATTTTACAAAGCTTATTTTACCAGAGGAATAGGAAGTATGTTCTAAAACATCGATTTTTTTCAGTGTAAACTGGTGCTTTACAACTGCTTCTGATCCCTATTTTTAAGGGAAAATAAGCCGACGTTATCGTTAATGGCTCACTTAAAGATTTAATTCAAAAGAAAAAAAAGCCTTGAAGCTCGAATATAAAGCTACATTGGTGAATTTAGGTGTCGTAGAAACTTCGATGAATAAATTACCTCTTTCAAATTTAAAATGAAATAAAACGACAACGTTTAAATACATGGAAAATGTTACATTTCTGTTAAAAACAATTCCTTACTATCGCTCGCTGCAATATGTAACCATTTTAAGCTTGAAGAGGGGTTAATTCTGCTTGTCATAAAACCAAAAAAAATGTATAAATTCAGACATTCACTCAACAGGAAATAAATAAAAACTTTGATTAATTGTCTTGACCGGAATGAGCTATCACCGTTTAGAAGAGATTGATAAAGCTCACGCTCAAGCTGATGTGGACATTCTTAATGAAATCATTCCATTTGTATTTGTGCTTAGAGGATCGGGAATTGCGACCGTGAGACAATTCAGAGACTGATTCCGTCTTCGGGACTTTCTTTTAAAGCAAGATAACCACAAAATCAAATGATATTTTGAGAAACGACTAAAAGATATTCGACGTCGCATCTTTATTTTTCAGGTGAGTCTTCTTCAGCACAACAGGAGCTATCTAAGGTAGAAAAGAGTTATGGGATGTATTACTTTCATCGACAATTGCGGCTGAACTCCTCATTACCTTACTTCCGTTAGCACCACCTTCCCTCGCTGCAATTTAAATGTAGCTATTCTACTGAATACTGTGATTCGCCTCTTAATTCAGTCAAACATCCATGATGATTGTTCACTCTAAAAGACGCTATATATTGGGGATGCCAAACGATAAAATTACTTTTTCATTGTTTTCTGACTGCTATTTTGCGTTAAGTATGCGGATATGCACTTATTCCGAGGTTGGAACAAGGATATTCAGCATCCATTTGTTGATTGCTTAAGTGAGGTAAAAAAAATCATTTTTCTTTATTCTGCGTGTGAAGAAAAACCTACAGTAATTTTCTAACAGCTGACAAAAATTTTAATATTGCAGCCCAGAATCTGTCTTCCGGCAAAGAGGCTTCTGCTGTCTCAAGTGTCATTTTTAATTAAAAAGTGACAGAAATGTTGCCAGGCCGTCTAAAATAAAACAATTCCACTTGCGTTTGCGCTTGGAGGATCGAGAATTGCGACCGTGAGAACATTCAGAGACATTCCCGTCTTCGTAATCACTTTTTAAGCAGGATAACCACAGAATCTAATGATATATTGATAGACGACTAAAAGGTAGTCGACGTCGCATCTTTATTTTTCAGGTGAGTCCTCTTCAGCACAACAGGAGCTATCTAAGGTAGAAAAGATGTCGGGATGTATTCGGCCTTTCATTGACAATTGTGCCTGAACTCTTTACTACCTTACAAGGCATCACCTTCCCCCACTACAATTTAAATTCTACCACTGTGATCATGTTCGCCTCGTGATTCAAACCGTCATGATTTTTCACTCTAAAAGACGCTGTAGATTCAAGATGCCAAACGATCAAATTTACTTTTTCAAGATCTTTTTTTTACCGCTACGTTACCTTAGGTATTATTACTCTGAAGGCTTACATATTTTCCTCGATCTAGGAGCGTTTAGGAAGCGCTCTTTTTGAAGATTTTCGTGCGATTTGTGATTTGTGAGGCTTTCAATACTCACTCAGAAACAAACTTGCTGAAGTACACTCACTCCGAGGTCGTAACAAGGATATTCAGCATTCATTCGTTGACTGTTTGAGATAGCAAAAAAAAATCAATTTTGCTTTCGACACGCGAAAAAAAAAAAAACCTATAGTGCTGTAGCTGCTTGGAGGAAACGCTAACAAAAATTTAATATTTCAGCCCAGAATTTGACTTCCAAGAGGCTTCTGCCGTCTCAAGTCCCACAGTTATTTTTAATTAAAAAGCGACAGACAGGATGCCAGGCCGTGGAATAACTTCGTTTTATCTTCCTGTCGTGAAGTAATGGAAATATTCTCTTGAGGCTCTAGAACGTTTTTGTTTGCTACTTTTTTTTATTCCTTTAAGGGTCCGAGTGACAGTCGAGTGTATGGTTTCCTTTTGCATTTTGGTCATTAGATCTGTTTCGTTCAAGGTTTGGGATAAAAAGGCATCGGGATATAAAAATTTTTCATAATGATACGTAAAGGAAAAAGTTGAGTCAGAGAGGATATTTGCAGTAGCAATTTTTCAACTGCAGATCAAAGCCTTTTCAAAATCTACGATAAGGAAGGAAACAGGAGGGAAGCTAATCTAAATATGCTAAAATCACTGACACTTATTGCTTGGAATAAAAAAACGCATATTTGACTAATACGATGCTACCTTGTCAGAACAAGATAATTTTGTGCCAATAATCCACCTACCAATTTCAATTTGTTCTCCCAATATATTGATAACTTCGAAACAGAGGGGAGTGCAGTACTTTTCCTCGAGTCTCTGATATTAATGAGGTAATTTTCCCGAAGCCATAATTCATTATTCCACTCACTATTGAGCACGGAAACATTGCTTGGACTTGGCGTAATGAACGAAATGCGAAACTTCTGTGTTGTCCATTCAGTTTTGATACCAGATGATGTTCTTTCTTTCAAAGAGGTAAAAACCTCCACCAAATTGTCGTTTATTTGACAAGTTGTTAATTGCTTTGCACACAAACTTTGCACCATTTAAAATACCCCCTATTTTTGTATTATGCGCTCAGTGTTAATCGCTTATATTACCCCTGGATCGAGATTTCTATCGCTGGTGACTAAAAGATACGCAAAACAATTGAGGTAAACATGATTTTATAATACCAGAAAAAGGCGAATGTGGTGGCCACACAGACATTTAAAAGTGGTCTTAGAATAACTTACTTTCTTAAATATAGTTTTCTTAAACAATATGTTAGTTTCCGCCTTCAGAGGAAAACTTTAATTATTTCGGTTAAAAGCCAAATTGGTTCACAGCTTGGCAAGGAGATAGCTTATTTGACACGCATATATATATCAGGGCATATTTCCCTTGCAAATTAACAATATGTTTACACTCTAGCATTTTCCAATGCTTACGAATATACACAGAAGATATTTAAGCACATTTCTTTGTAAACAGGCGATAAAGTTCATTTCTTTCTTCTTAAGGCGAAGAGCAAGCGAACTCACAGGTAAAAGACAAAAATTGAAAACATCGATAGGCAGTGATCCCTAGAATGAAACCCATTTAAGAATCGAAATGTTTCCTGACCAGACTACCCATGCATTATAATAGCATTGATTTAACCAGTTTAAAACCTAAAGGTTTTTGTTAAATACTGTTAGAGTACAGGGCAAACTGCGCTGAAAAGCATATTTAGTTTGCAAAGAAGAATAATAATTTCATGACCATAACTCGTATTTTCTTCGTCATGCGTCAAGTGAAGCTATATAACTGACGATGGTTTTCATCGTGCATCAAGATAGCTCTAAAAGTTATGTGATAGACACAGAATAGCGAATATTAGTTATTTCTCTTGATACAGGATGAATACATTTCTACTTTTTCTGGCATATTTTGCGTTTCTTGGATGTTACTGTCGTAGACAGATCACGCAAATAGGAAATCTTTCAAGCTGGACTCCGTGTTCTTCACAGTGTTGGTGTGCGCAAGATGACAAGGGTCGCGACTATGGAAGATGCATCGTGAACAAATTTGAGGAGTCGGTAGAATTAAACTTTTCAAGAAAACTCCACTTTTTGTAAGTACTGAGTGGAACACTTAAACAAAAAAGGGGCGCAAGCTCGGTTAGGTCGTGATCGTAAATTTAAGCGAAGAACGAATCGAAGAGCACTCTATCAAGCAACACAAACGATAAGAAAAAAAATATGTCACCGGTAGCTGAAACACTTCCTGACCAGATATACAAATTCAGCGACCTTATTTTTTTTAATGTGTTGGTTGCCTGCATTGGAAAAAGCTTCGTAAAATAAGAGCATTTATCTTGAACTTTGCTACAGTACCTGAGGCCAGAGAATTTGTTTCATGCCATTTTAAATGCAATGTTTGGACTACGTTTAACGCTTTAAGGCATCTTATTAAAATGTAATCAATAGGAACTATCCCCCAGTGATGTTTTTTCCTTCGGAAAATGAAAAATATCAAATCAAAACCCAAACCATTGACGGGAAAAACGATTTATATAAAACATACTATGTCTCACTTTACACGAAAGCATTTCTATTATATCAATAGAGCATATTTTTCCGGGCTCTATAACGAAATAAATCCACGCAGGATGTTGGAGAACAAGAGGAAAGCTTTACGAGATCATTGATAAGAGTACGTCTGCAAGCACACTAGTCCATTCGAATGAGAGATTTGTTTGCTATAACGGTAACATTTTTTTAACCCACAGGTCCTTTGCTAATAATGGACTGAGGGCGGTACTGAGGGGAATCTTTACAAACCTTCACAATCTTGAGTTTCTGTAAGTGTTTGATGCGAAGTGCATTGCAATGTAAGAGCGCAATTTCCCTTTACCAGCGGCTGGACCTTAACAGTCTGAAGACCTTTGTGGTGACCATTAATTCGTGGTATATGGTACGGTAGACGCATCACGATGAAATTTGAATACTTTAGGCATTTTGTTGTAATCCCCGGAGAGGATTCTCACTACACATTAGCAGAACGTTTAGTTGTTTAGAATATTCCCTGATCTCATTTATAACAGCCACATACATCAAAATAACTTTTTCTGACGTAGTTTAACCACTTTCTACAACAGGCTCGAATATCTCATCTGGAATTAATCATAAAGAACTGTTTTCCCTTTCAGATCTTTGGCAAATAACAGCATCGAAATTATCAACGAACATGCATTCGAAGGCTTGAGTAACCTGCGTATCTTGTAAGTTTGTTAATTAACCCTTTAAAAACTAGTGTTTGGGAAAAATGTAAGGACATTTGTACAGAGCAAGAGACAAGCATGTGAAGAGACTGAAATCTCCTTACAGATCCTATTCCTAACGAAATCCTCCCATGAACGTAGGTATTTGATCCACAGGGTATAATGCTTCGTGTACTGTGCATGCTGCTTGCTTGTCTTTGATGGTGAACGGATACCTGTCGCAAAGAAAGAAAAGGCCGTAACAAGTGATTGGATCTCGGAAAATGAGAGAGTTATAAAAATGCATGACAAGTGAGAGACTCTTTTGTCAAATAAGACTAAGATAAAGGATCCCGTCTTTGCGCCATATCCTCTCTCAGCTAAATCTCACCTCGTTTACAGGTAATTTACATAGCGAGCCAGCTTTTGTATTCGTCATAGTTACAAAGAGAAAGTACTCCTCTGGCCCCGGCTGTTCGAAGGTTGGATGACCTTATCCAGCGGATAAATCCTTATCCGGTGGATAGCGCAGTACATTTTGCTGTCACTTATCCTGTGGATGGAGGTTTATCCGTTGGATAGCGTCATCCACCCTTCATACAACTGGGCCCAGGTCATTACACAAAATTTAATTCACAATTCAGAGATCTCCAAAACAACAATCTGAAGAAATGGGCCGGGGATCCTACAAGAGACATGCCACTTCTTGAAATTCTAAACCTTAACGGCAACGAGGGCTGGATACCCAATCAGCAAATTCTCCGCATGCCTAAACTCAAAGAGATCCTTGGGATTACATGGAGCTCGCACTGTTCTACCTGCGACCTCCTTAAGATTACTGAAAATGAAACATTAGTAGATGATGATGAGATGGAAGATTACGAGGAAAATAGTGGAGACGGCTTGAGTGGGAAAGGAGAGATGAGTGAAATGAAGTGCCATGTGACACTCGAGGAGTTCTACTACCCCAAGGCAGTAAATTATGGAGTTTCTGCGCAATTTGTGAGGCAAGGCTTCTCGCCACAATGCTTCTGTGACTATCTCTCGGACTGCTATAACCGTGAGGTTTTTGTACCGTATTTAACACAGTTGTACGACTTCCCTCGAAAACTTTTCCTTTCCCAGTATGCCTTGGGAGGATTAATAGTTATTCTCACCATGTCTGTTCTTGTTGTGATTATCACTTCACGACTGTTGAGGAATAACATTTCGTTCGTGTTGGTCGGGAGTATGGCGTTAAGCGATGTTCTGATTGGTGTTCACAGCGTGGCGATCGCCAAATACAACATATTTAGTGACCCAAATGTTAAGCCGCGAGTCGTTATGGAAAGAGACACCTCTGTTTGCACATACATAGGCATGGTATTCACCATAGGCCAGGTAACCGCAGTGTTTACCTCTCTCATGTTAACTGTAGAAAGATATCTCGTCATAGTCTACTACCACAAATGCAGAGGCAAGGTAAGAATCAGACCTTTGGTCATTATTTTATTTCTTGTATGGACAGGAGCAATCACCTTCGCAAGCTTGCCTTTGTTTGGTGTAGGAAAGCTGAAATATCATAGATGGTTCCAGTGCACGATGCCCTATCATTCAGGAAAAAATCTGTTACAAACATCTAACATAACTCTGAGCATCTCGGCCATATTTGTGTTTCTTTACCTTATCAGTCTGGGGCTTTACATTTTGATCTTCTGCTACGCAAGAAGATCAAGTTTGCAATTTGGCATTAAACGTGAAGCGAGACTGGCGAGGAAAATAGCAATGCTGGTGTCATCAAATTTCATTCTGTTCACCTTACCAACTGTTCTACTTCTAGTCTATGTATATTCTTTCTCGGAAATTCTTGACGCTGCCAAGTCATTCTCGAGCATGCGTTCTTTGTTCATTATTGGTGGTTGGCTTCCGGTCACGTGCTTTAACCTGAATTCGCTGGCGAACCCGTTTCTCTATCCATTCAGACACTGTCGATTCAAGAAAGAATTACGTTCGATTCCCCGCAGGTTACGCAACGGTGTCAGTCATACGTTTTACCCAGTCTTCGCCACGGCACAGCACTTCAGCTTGCGCACATCTGCAATTAGCCACCAGTTGCGTCAGCAGTTCCATTCCTTCACGTCACGAAGGGAAGGTGAGAACTCACTGCATGTTGATTTAGATACAAGAAAGGGTCGTGGACAAACTGCAACAGTTTAAGACTTATTTGCAACTCAATACGAGTCTTTTTTAAAGCCATAGAACATCGAGGCGCGAATTTAATTATTATGCGGCCAGACATTGGCAATGCAGCATTAGGCTTCGTTCCCATAAGAGTAATCATAAATGCAATCACGAGTAAAGTTTTGTACAGCCTATCTCTTTACAAGAACAACTCAAAACACAATCAAGACAATATAATCGAACAATCTTTAAGATTATGTCCACAATAAAGTTAAAGTCGAAAGAGGAGCGCAAAAGCTAGAGGACATGAACGCAATCGTTAGGACAGATCTCCAGTTATTGCGTGCAAGACCGAGAACACTTCCTAGTCTTAGTGATTTGCCGCGCATGACATTCTGCACATTTTTCATCGTTCGAGGATCTTTTCCAAGCTTCACGAGTGTTCCCTGTGCAACATACCACCCTTATGATGTCACTAATGGCTATGACGTAGTGTCATTGGGAGCCAAGCATAAACAGACCTCTTAAAGATAGATTGGCCACCGTAACGATTACAAAAGCTGACGTTTCGAGCGTTAGCCCTTCGTCACTCCGACGAAGTATTCGCTCCGACGAAGGGCTAACGCTCGAAACGTCAGCTTTTGTAATCGTTACGGTGGCCAATTTACCATTTCAACTTTGTTGATACGTCCAAATTATTTCGTTACTCCCACCGACGCAGCCCCAAACAGTTTCTTTCGAAACTATCAGCCTTTATTCTCTTAAAGATAGGCAGACAGGAGCAACAATCGCGCTATCACACTGACAAGGAAGACGTCTAAGGCAGCGACTCGACGCACCTTGGAAGTAGTAGTATCTGGGCAACTTCGCACCTATCCGACCCCTAGCTCGACAACAATCGACTCATAACAAGTTTGAGTTAAGTTTGGGTTAGGGGAAGGGTGGGTGTGCGGTGGCTCATCCGAATTCAGAACCGAAACGATTTGGAAACAGATCGGCACATCATTAGTTGGGCGACGAGGCATTTTGAGGTTAAAAAGAATTCTACTGAAGATGTTTTTATTTGTTATTTTCGGATATGTTGATTTAGTTTTATGTTGCCTGTTTTCTAATAGCATAGTTCTTGTTCTCGATTATACTTCTCTATACATAATTGCATTACCACTTAAGTGGCCTTGATATAAACTTTTTCACTTTGTAACGACTGAAAGGAACACCCTATTGAAATAAAAGTAACTATTCTATCATTACGCCTTCATTACTGAAAAATGCGAAGTAATTCCCAGGATTCACAGAAAGAATTTCATGTTGAAACGAGTGCACAGGCGTTATGCCTGTATCGTAATCTTCAGAGGTACACTAATATAAGTCTCTGTCGTTTGTTTTTCTCTTTAGGTATCAACACGGTCAAAAAAATAATTCGATCGCCATATGATCTGACTACTGAAATTTTACTAACGCAGAGTCGGCAAAGATTTTGGTTCGTTTGCCGTTTGTCACCGGTCACGTTCACGAGATTACGTTTCCGTTTCAGATTTGAAGAGATAAATTTATCCCATGGTAAAACCGTAAAATTGTGGTCAAATTTCTTCCATATACCTAACGTCGACCAAGTTGACGTAGTTGTCTTTAATCCCCAACCCGTCCAGCCAAGGAAGCTCCGACGGGAAATCTGCAGAAATTCCTGTGATAAAACAATGAGGTCTGTTAACCCTTTAATTCTCCTTCCTCGCTCAATTAAAATAAACGTAAACGCGAAACAGAACTTCATAAAACGCGGTTCCAAACCTCCCTGTAAAACCTAGAGTTCGAACACAAATCGCTACAGTGGTAGCCTTAAGCAAAATGACATGGTATAAGTTCTGCTACGCAAATGGCTGTACCGTAATTTGTTTTCATTTCAGCTGGGTAATCGTCAGGACAAAAGGTACCTGTATTCAAAGCCTTTTCTCATAGGTTAGTTTCTTTGCCTTAGAAATGTTGTACATGTAGGATTTCAACAAACGACTGATGCATACTGTGTTCATTGCAACTGGGCGACTCAAGACCACACATTTTAGGTGTAAAGGAGTCCTTGATAAAACTGCCTCTCGCTTTTTAAAAGCCACTCATCTGGGAGCCCTAGGTATTGAAAAGCTCCCTTTTCTCCCACCTCATCAGACCATGTAAGGTATGATGAAAAATGTCTTAAATATTCCAATCCTTTGATCCCTGGGAGTGACTGGAATCTAGCATTTCTCCTTGCAATCTCACCCCTGAATTAAACATTAAGGTCAGGAGAATAAAGGAGATGATCACCAACTAAAGATGCTCTTGATTGTTGAAATAAATTGTCCTTGTCGACACCGTAGGAAATGTGATGAGAACAGCATGAAGAATATGCATACTAGCGTTAGGGTGTCAAGGGTTAAAGCAAAACAATGTTCAACCTCAAATAATTGAAGCAATTTCATCACATCACAGAGAAAAAATCTCATTTCAAACCTAAACTGATGATGCAATCGATTGTGTAATCAATCTCGAATTTACCTTTTAGATGGTAATGACAACAGTTTCTAGATGTTCTAGGGATTTCAAGCCCTGACATTTTAGTTTAACGCAGATGGGCGTTCAGAAGATAAGGCGGAAGCGCTTTCCAGATCTTTTGAAAGGAAGCAAACATTACAACAGAATAAAGGTTCCATCTAAAAAGGTCCGGCACGAAATTCACACGACCAGCCCATCTGCAAAATATTACTTGCGCTTTAAGTGGTTTTGTCTCCATAAGACGTAGTTCTAGCCATAGCATATTATTGACATCTTAAGAAAGCAAAGGTTGAAAGAGTTGCTGTTTCTCCCAACTAATTACTGAATGAATCATTGTTACCATGCTATTACATTTGAGTCCTTTTTAATGAATGTTTGTAGAGTCGTGATCATCACTTTTCCGGTAGAAGAGGTTTCCAAAGCAACACGTTTTATAAAACATTATTAGTTATCAGATTCGTATGCTTGTGGCTCTTAAACGAGTTTAGGCGTGCTCGTTTTAAATGAAAAGGTTTTCATAGCAACACTATACTATTCTATAAACCACACCCCTCCCCTCCTCTGTGATTAGATTCACATGCCGATGACGCCAAAACGAGTTTGGTAGTCCTCATTCACTCTTCTATCAAGAAATTACCATTGGCAAATTAACTTAAGTTTAAGAAAATTACACTTAACTTTCTCCACCGAAATTAACAGGTCTGTATGGGTTATTTTTACTGTGTGAAAAGAAGTAGAAAGAAGGACCCCTAGTTGCATAGTCCTTGGTGATGTGTTTTGTGACAATTTGAAGGTTTTTTTCCATGATCCGCGAAAACAAGTCCCCACTAAAATGGTAATACTGGCCTAAGAAAACGCTTAGTTAGTCTATTACAGTCCCCGTGGGAGTAGGGAGAGGCTTTAGTCTATTAAAGTCCACGTGGAAGTAGGCTGGGAGGTAGGGAGAGGCTTTAGTCTATTAAAGTCTCCGTGGAAGTAGGCAGGGGGGTAGGGAGAGGCTTTAGTCTATTTAAGTCCCCATGGAAGTAAGCAAGGGGGTAGGGAGAGGCTTTAGTCTATTAAAGTCCCCCGTGGAAGTAGGCAGTGGGGTAGGGAGAGGCTTTAGTCTATTAAAGTTTCCGTGGAAGTAGGCAGGGGGGTAGGGAGAGGCTTTAGTCTATTAAAGTCTCCGTGGAAGTAGGCTGGGGGTTAGGGAGAGGCTTTAAAAATGGAAGTCCCCGTGGAAGTAGGCAGGGGGGTAGGGAGAGGCTTTAGTCTACTTAAGTCTCCGTGGAAGTAGGCAGGAGGGTAGGGAGAGGATTTTTGCGACATGTTGTTGTTGTTGTTGTTGTTATTATTATTATTATTGTTGTTGTTTTAGTCCTAACAAGTATAGTGAGCTATTTCTTATTCAATGAGAAATTTAAGTTGAAAATATTTGAACAAAAAATCGTAACAGGTTTCAAAAGAATATCTGTCATTTAGAGCCACAAAAATTCGTTCCCGTAATGGCGGCTTAGAAAGTTGTTAAACCGTCGCTAAGCTTAAAGAACATTTTAACAATCTAAACATTTAAACAAATTAGCATTTTAAACATTTTAACTTGAATTTTAAAACCAAGCATATATTTTTATCTTTCGTTAATGATAACTTCGTTAACTCAAGCACCTAAGCGGGAGCCATTTCTAGGCATGATGCATCGGTCTTTCCTCGAAGTTCTGCAATTGAACCATATCTTCTGGTTCTGGAAAACAAAGTGTTCACGAAAATTAGGTTGAGAGAGTTTTAGAGAAAGGAAGAAAAGGAAACTCCATTCAACTCTTTTAGCGCGCGTCCATTGGTTTGGTTCTTATTTCCTTTTCATCACCTCTTGACGTCACACCTAATCTATATCGTCACAGTCATAATTTTTCTTCAATAAAACTGTCTTTTGAACTGTTGTTATCATCACTCATGTTAGAAGAGAGACGCTTGCATTATGTTTGGTTTAACACTAGAGTGATTCTAGCAATAATACAATAATTCTGAAGAATAACCATTGAATACTTGAGGTTTCAAATAACTAAATGACGTAAAATAAAATAAATGGGTGAAACTGCTCTGCACGTCTCCTAGGCGACAGTGCAAGACATTTGACGCTACAAGACATTCATCGACACATATTATCTACTTGGGAAGGAAAAAATATGCAAAACTGCCAAAAAGTATTTTTACATCGTCTATGAAAACTTGACAACACGAGATAGGATCAATTAACTCGAGGGGTAGTAAGACTTATTTACCCTATTACCTTTCTACAATTCACCACCTTGTTTGTGAGTTTAAATGTGGATTGGTAAATTGTTTGACTGAAGCAAACACATACCTTGTTTATCAAAAACTCCAGTCTTTTTCGCCCGTAAGAAATGTTTAGACGCCTTTACGCAAAGAATAATTGAGACGAGGAGTAGAAGAGAACACAGACCAGACGCTACCCACGAGGCATTCTGCATAACGACAACAACAAAAATTAGTCAATGACATCTCTGATTTCAATGTTCAGTTTCTTCAGCTCTAAAGGTTTTCGGTTAAAATGGCTGAGAGAAAAAACTCAAAACACTTCAGAAGCTTCACTGGCGCTCTCTGCATAGCCTGCGGGTAGGCCTTCATCAATAACGCTCCGGGGTGAACGTTTCGTTGCCCGTGGGAGGTCTGCAAGGGGTCTAGGCACTCCACCCTCCTCCGGCAAACCTCCACCCGACTCGTCTCCAATCTTCCCGCGGGCGGAAGAAAGCACGTCCTGCAGCACAAACAATGAGGCCTGGTCGCAGGTTACTCTACGCAAGGTGTCATGCACTTGCAAGTAGAATTTCCATAGAAGACTCACGACCGCAGCATGTGTTTGAATACAGCGCTAACTCATCTAGACGATCCTTTTCTTTCTTTTTCTTCCACTTACCATTCCGGCTGCGTATTCAGAACATACAGAGCCAGTAAACCCGTGGTATATGTTTGACAGAATTTTACACTTTCCAATGTCAAATCGGACCTAAGGAAGACAAAGTCATTCTCATACTATATATACACTGGTGAAGTTGAAGGCAGTCAAAGGAATTACATGATAAAACGATCAGGAAAGTTTTCATACATGAAAAATAATTCCCAAAGCACTAAATACAAAGATAAATTTCAAATGTACCTGATGAATAACATGGTCCAACAAAAAATCCACATTACCAAAGACACTGTCCCAGTGCATTGTTACCCCCTAGTAAAGCAAATATTCACAAAGAAACAAGTGGTTATCTTTGAGACTGGAACCAAAAGGATCTCCAGTATAAAAGCGAGAGATAATAACTTTTAGCGCGGGACACATAACACTGAAGCAGTTAGGAACTTTAAGAGTATTGCATTACAAAAAAGAAACAAAACAAAACACATGTAATCAATAATAAAGGGCGTCATCGCTTGCCAAGAGGGCCTTGCAGCGCCCATTTCTCCAAAGTACCGTTAATTTTGCGGGCCCACAGTCATACTTTAAAATCTAAATCGAAGGAATGGGTGGGTCTTTCTTAAAAACTAATCCATTCTGTTTCTTTAGCTGATATTTTCATCGTTTTAATTTAAATACTCTTAACTTTTCGATTTCAAATATATACACGACAACGGTACCAGACAACTTTTTTGGGGATCGGTAACTACAGAGACCAAAACGAAATAAAGAAGCCCCAAATACCAAATGACTCTTTACATTCTTATTAAATACTGAATATTCGTAACAAGAAATAGTAACACCAACCCTTGCAGCAATTGATAAAGCATCGTCTTGTATAAAGGTCGCCACTTCCTCCATGCCTTTCATCACTCTTGCGCCTGAAGTCTAAAGAAAAGAACTATCATGAGGAAAGATTGCTTCTACGCCCCAAACAAACGACTAGCACAAATTGTGTCACTTCCCTCTCCCGGAGTCGATATAGTTTGCCTCCATTTATAATTTTATCCCGGAAACCGATTTTTCCTCCAAATAATATTGGGTCGCTGACTCAAAAGTGGTGAGGGCGGTGGAAGGTTCTCCACAGTTTGTACCGTTGTTCACTTTTGAAGAAAATTCTATACAAGGCTGTTATATTTGTTTCTCTTGAATCCTCTTTGAAAGACATAACTTCTTTGAAATGCGTAACAGTCTGTTCCTTTCGCCGGCTCGAAAGGAAGCTCGTTTATTAGTCAAGAGTTTCAACTTTGAAATGTTCGCATTTACATTCCCATCAGAGAATCTGACTTTTTGTTGCCTTGCCATAAACATAGAGTAGTTAACCGCCTTTTTACGATTATTGTTGTTCACAAATCATACCAGTATTGCTTTTCCCGATTGCTGAAGATCACTTGCAAGTTTTCCCAGATATTCCTGAAAAAAAAAAAAACAAGAAATTTTAGTAAGTACATATGATGCACGATCCTCGCACCACAATGGTTCGAATCCCATACAGGCCTGACTTTTTTTCAGGTCTGATTTTCGCTATTGCATAAATAGCGCTCTCTACTGCGAGGATCGTGCATCATATGTATCTACAACCGCAGTTCAAAATATATATGAACTTCATATATTCATTGTATCTAATTTTAGTAAGGTCGTGCATCCACATGCCTTTCGCAGACTCGATGACAATCAAACTATCACTGAAAAGTTACACACTTACTGCCTGTTTCTCCGCTGGTTTTACATGCGTCTTGTCTAGGTTATCCAGTTTGTTTGATTCATTCGCCAACTTACTACTAACTGAAGCCTTTTTCAAAACAAAACAAAAACATTAGAGCTAATAAAATTAAACTCTATTTGATTGATTGACAGAACACAGTATATTTCATTGGCCAAATCTGAAAACTTCTTTCGTATGACAAATTCGATTAATTTTCCATGGACACCCAAAGACATTACTACAAATTTCTTGAATTATCATGGATATCTTTCAGTTTAGATGCCCCCAGTGTGTTTTTCCTCAAGAAGGGATAGAGTGTTGATTCCGTTATCTTTAAACACCGATACTTACATTAATCAATAGCAACAAAATTTTACGTTTTATTACCTTGACGAGATTACCGAAGAAATGTCAAATTATTACATAAAAGTACGTTAACATAACAACATTATTTAGTCTTTCAAAACACTCTCGATTTCACTTTTACATGCCTGTACAACTCTATGACGATTTAAGAGACTCTGACCTAACCCTGCTGATTCTTTTCATCATCTGCCAATCATAATCCCTTAATAAAAACAGGTTAGATGATTTTCTAAACGCCAGCTGTAATGCCGCAATGCCAACTTCTTACACTGAGAAAAAGTTATGAAAATCTCTAGTGATAACCGAAATTGTATGATACCATTACAAAAGTAAAACCAAATATACAATCATCAAAACCATGGTTGCATTGATCCTTTTAATCATTGGTTGCAAAATGCTGAAAGTTTTTGAACAAGTCCTGTTTCTCCAAATCGAAGCTGCCTGCAGCAATAAGCAGGTGATCCCACGCAATGGGTGCCTGCATGTCCATGATGACGCTGTATTAACATACCTGACCTTTAGTAGTATTGGCAGCCTTGCTAACGTTGGATGCAAATGATGGCAAGGGGACAGTAACTATAGGTTTATTCACCTGGAAGTATGAAGATGTACACATAAATGACATGACTAACAATCCCGTGATTCTACTGCCATATAAGGCAAAATAGATAAGATAATGACTTTATTTTAAGAGGGTAACACGTAACAGTTTAAGTACAACTGATGACCCTGTGGCCCTCTCTAAAGTAATCTAATCAATACATAAAATTAACATATATGAAAGTAATAATAATTTGATCTATATAATAATTATGTA